GCGGCAGCAGACTGCCCGGGGAACCCGGAGGCCTGCCACGCTCGCACGGCTTCAGGCAGAGCCACGGGACAACGTGGGAAAACAGCAGCCAGCAGGGACAAGCCCAGGCTTGGTCTGGCTGTGCTCGGCAACAGGAAAGGTCTCGGTGTCCACCCGAAGCGTCACCCGCAGGTGCTGCGGTCACTGCAGGGCTATGGCACACGTCGATCCCCACCAAGTGCCTCTGTGCGGAAGCTGCTGTGTTCAGTAATTACAGCAGGGTTAATTGTGCTCAACTGGATCCATTATTACAAGGAGTTTTGGAAAAAAATAAAATAAAACTCTAAAGTGGCTTGGGAAGAATAGGAAGATCAAAGTGCTTTGCAACAAGATGCTGTAAAAAAAGGCCATAAAATCTTTGGGAAAGGGCCTATGATTTTACATACAGGCTCTGTGTAAACAGCAATCGGATAATGAATAATGATGTTTAAAAAAGGTACTTTTATAGGCACAAATTAATACGTTTGTGAAGACGAATGGAAACATTAACTGTGGTGTATTAAAATGCAAGATAAGGGAAAAATAAATGTTTGAAGCGTATGGGCTTTGGCGTGCCTTTCATGGAGCAATGTGAGATCTGTATCACAGCGCAGGGCGCCAGGACCCGGGTCGGCCTCGATTCTCACAGCCACGGTGGAGACGTGCTACAGACACAGCCTCCTCCTCACCGACCTCGCAACGGGCATTAAAAACACCGCGGGCTTCAGAACTTCCTCATGACATTCCCATCCGAGCGGTGCTTACGGTCCCGCTCCTCGGATACACGTTTGGCTGCTCTTCCTCACCCAAGAGCACCGTGCAGGACAGCCCTGGGCAGGGAGCGAGACCGTGATCACGCACCGAGGAGACACCCGAGGAGACTGCGCGCCGCCTGCCCACCTTGAGGTGAGTTTTGCAGCGTTTACGTGCACACAGCTCATCTCAGTTTGCATCTGTGATCAGCAGAGACATTACTTAAACATAAACATAAAAGTTAAATTCAAGAACAAAGTGAGACTCTTAACGATGTTTTTGCATCGTAAGTTATTAGATGTACTCCTACTGCCAGATCATCCCATCTTTTCCCCATTTCCAGCAACGCATGATCTTTAGGAGAGGGCTAAAAACGATGACATTTATAATTCTGATCGCTCCTCAGGCAGATGCATTAGCTTCCCAAGCGTCGGGATGTTAAGACGCAGCTGTCCGAGAGCAGCCGAGAGAGACCAGCACAGGGCAAAGATGGAAATCAAAACCGAAAAGGTAGATTAGGCAGCAAGGAATTAAAGGTTCCCTAATCATTTTTTATGGCAGGAGAATATAAACAAAACCCCTTTCCTGTTGTGAAGCAGTTCCTAATGGCAGTGGCAGAAGAGCTGCAGTTTCCATGAGGCAGGAGGGTACCCTAATGACTGAACTCATTTCCGTCCCAAGGTGAAGTGCAGTTCAGCACACAAAGAAACATCCACTTGGCTGCAGCAGCAGGAAGGAGCAGGGCGCACGACGCCCCGCTTTAGCATAATGCACAGTTTATTTTTCTGTTATTCTATGCTCTAAAACAGTATAAATAAAGTGTCAGCCAAAAAACCCACACAGGATATGAGAGCCATCAGAGCGTCACGGGTGACATGAATTGAGCCTGCGTGCCATTTATAAAAACTGACTTGAGAGAAACTGCTTAAAAACCAGCCACACTAGCGTATTCCTCAGAGAACAGATTTACGTATCTTTTGCACACAGTTACACTCCTTGCAAAGAAGCTATTTCTACTTCCTTGCTCTGCACACTGTGCCCCAGTGTTTCTGCTGCTCCTGGGACCAAAAATGCCCCTATCAGAGCTCCCATCCTGCAAACCTCTCTTCAAGCAAGGCTCAACTTACTCCTTTATACTTGATAATTCCAGGAAAGTCTCCTCACCTTAGAACATCCTCCCCTCCACCTATCTACAGGACACAGTTAGAAGAGAGATTTTCACTATTTTTCCCCTCCCCTCAAAAAACAGAAGTGTTCTCCACGTTAGTGCAGTTTTGAAACCCCCTTCACACACACTAACAACAACTTTACCCATAAGTAATAGCAGAACATTTAAGACTATGTGTTTTAAGCTCTTTAAACAACAGTTCATTTGCTTTTTTTAAGGGGCTATTTAATCATGGCATTTTTATATCCGAACCAATTGAGTTTTTTAATTTAATTCTACTTCAATAACTATCACAGGCTTTGAGTTCACATAAAAGAGCCACTTAAATAAAATCACCTCGTTGAAAAGATGCCAGAGATGAACAATCCAGCAGGACCGTTCACATAGCGCTAAGTTTATGCACGATGGGCACTAGAGAAACAAAATATTGTTGTCAATTTGGAGTTTGAGTTCAAAAACTCGGATCACCGCTGAAAATGCCAGGAATAAAAGTTTTATACTGTGAAATCTGAGCTTCTCTAAAACAATAAGGAGGAATATTCGGACATCTAGACAAGCTCAGCTCTGCCAAACCTGAAACATGGGATTTCTCATCTGCACCGAAAACTATAGGGCTTTCTTAGAGAGAATAAAAGCACCATCACCCACTGAATGTGTTCAAAACAATTTTTTTCTACGACAACATAAATGCTGCAAGAAGCTTCCAAAAGAAAAGAGAATTCAGGATTTTTATTTGATGAATATAACACATAGTTATGGCAAAGAACAGTTTTATTATCATGAATCTCATTCGCCCACTGAAGAGAGCACCAGACCTGGGACTTTGGAAACTAGTTTTCTAGTCCTTGCCCTGATACAGGACAGAGGCAAGTCTTTGGGAAAGTGTTACAAATTTCTTAATATTCCATCTTTTGGAGGCTTAAAGTATATATAGCACTGTTTAATGGTGAAGGAGTAAGTTATTTAAAAAAAAAATACAAATATAAATTTAACAGGTAACTGGTTTCAAGAGACAGCTCCGTTACTGAAGTACCTTGTTTCAGAAAATTGAATTAGTCACACTCAAGTTTTTTCTCTGCAAATCAAAAAAAATTCACATTATTTCCTGCTGTTGTATTTTCTATTCTAATATGAATTTCAGAAGAAGCACCACCAAAATAAAAGGCAAGGAAATCAGGCAGAAGACTGGTAAGCTTAAGCAAAGAGATTTCAAATACTTAATGCAACATTTTAAAATTACTTCCTAACCTCGTCTTCCCTCAAGCCATTTTTAATTAATAATGAGAAATTATTCTATTGATAAGCAGAAACAATAAGAACACTATTGACAACTAACAGAGGCAGCATCAAGTTTTGCTTTTTTTTGAGCACAGATTTGTAAAAGCACTTGTTATGATTCCCAAAAGCTGCTTGGTTTTATGATGCAAGTTCTCCTCACTGTTTAAAATAAATAAATAAATAGATAATAGCAAACTATTAAAGACTTTCATAAACCTATTTTTTTTCCTTGAACACATTTGATTGAAATTAACAAGATAACTCCCACTTTAGCGACATGGACTACTACATAAAAACATACACAATACTATTAACACGTTAGAACACTCAGAAATAATAAAAGATGCCCAGAAATGAAAAAAAATACCAGCAGTACCTGTGAGCTTGATTTTGGACAAACGTGCCAGAATTCCCGGCAAGTCGCCCGGCTGCAGCTTCATCTCCTTCCACTGCCGCTCCTCCTTGGAGCCCGCGGCTGGCGAGGAGGCCGAGCCTCCCGTGTCCGCAGCTCCTGCCGGCTCATTCCCGGCCAGGGTGTCAGCCAAGGGCACAGGAACGGGGCAAACGGGGCGAATCCTGCGCGGAACCGTTTTGTCCCGACCCAGTTGTCGGCTCTCCTGGAGAGGAGGCGCCACTGGATCTGCCTTCGGTTTCACCCGCTGGCTGAGCTCCTTGTTGTGCTGCGTCACATACTAGACAGGAGGAGAAATATGAAAGCAAAGAGGTGAGAAGCTGTTTCTGCACATTTCTGATTATTATTAACACTAAACATTATGGCTATATTATTCTAAAATGATTTTTTCTATGATGATATGTTTATTTAATCTGAATTTCAAACACCTCCTTTGCCAAAAAACCTTCTGAAATGGCATGAGATACAGCAAAGGCTGCTTTCTATTTCACAGCTATGACCATAACTGAAGAAATATTTCTAGAACAATTATTCCTTCCCTTGTAGCTTCAGGTGCAAACACCATGTTTTTCATATTCAGAACTACCATGTAATGCCATTTAGTCTACAACCTCTTACTGCACATTCACTCCCACACCCATAAAAGATTCAGGCTTCAGAACACTCTGTTTTTTGTACCCTTGTAACACATGGAGAAAAACAACAGCCAGAAAATAGAATCCACTTTCTACGATGCAAAATCATCTCACAAGAGTCACCACCTACCCCAAACTCCACGTTAGTTTACTAGACTTGACTTTTTTTGGGGGGGGCAATGGTTACAAAAAGCAAATATTGTATGGAAAGTTATGAGGCCTTTTTTTTCCTGCTCTTTTGCATCTCTTAGAGAATAAAGTAGGGAAGAAGAAAAAGAGCAGTTAGCTTCTTCTATCTTTCATCTTTCTTCCCTAAATAGTTTGTATATATACGTATACACACACATATAACACACAACAAACAAACGTAAAGAACTGTTGCTGTTGTCTAATGATGACTTGAGGTGTCTACAAATTAATTCCTAAAAGGAGGAAGAAGGATTTGAAGCCTTTCAGATCTCAATGACTGATGCGAGCACAGCCCAAATCAGCAGCAAAATGAAGGTTTGAGACACAGTGACCCCCGCACAGAAGATCCCACAACCTCCTCGCTCAAACCCATCCCGTGCTCAGAGAAATATCACCAAAATGTCCCGCTCCCCGTGACCAAAGCGGTGAGACTTGGTCCCCTCCATCCTCCCTACCCAACCCCAAGACACGAGGCCTGGAAGGGAAGAGGCCCTGATGGTCAGAGCAGCCCGGAGCATCTGCGCTGCCACCGCCGCGTCCCGCGCACGGGTGCTCGGTGAGACCTGCTGCTCCTCGGGGCGTGAATGACAACACAGGTCATGTAGGACCAAAAGGCCAGGCCAGGCCACAGGAGGTGCCCGGCGAGCTGGGCGCTTTGGACTGAAATTGGCAGGTTTTGGATGCAGCGGGGTGGCCGCACTGGGGCGCCCGGGCCGTGGGGGCTCCCG